GGCTTCAGGTGGCTCTTTCCAGGGAAGCTGGTCCCAGGCCAGGGGCCTGAGCCCCTATGCAGAGGTCATCTGTTCCTTCTTACCCAGCTACAAGATCAGGCTTGAGCCGTTAAATGCCGCTGTGCACACGCTTCGTAAGTTTCACTTGTACATGTGTTGCCCCGGAGCGGTGTCAAGAGCGTCGTCGTTCCATGGCACCGTGCATGACCCCGCCATGCAACCTCCTGCCATGTCGAGAAAATCGAACCGACAGCTTCAAGATATGACATGACAGGCTTTGTGGACATGACTCTCATGGTAGGTGTTGTTGGAACTTGGCAGACGGTTGTCCTACGTGTTTGCATGCCGATACGTCATGCTCAGACAAACGCTGGTTTCACATGAGTTCCCTGGAGCTTTGCCTAACTTTGCATTACTTCGTAATTACTTCCTGACGATTTCCTTACTGTGCTGTCCAACATCCTTGCAAGCTGCAAGAAAGCACCGCATGGTGGGCATGAGAATAATTGATGCTGGTGGGTGTCGCGCGCCTGCTTTGAAACGGCCGATGACTGGAATCGAGGATGCTAGCCTTCGGCTGCGCGCTCCAGTGACGTCGGTCTGGGAGATGTGCGTTGGGAGATCTAGGCACAAGGAGAGAATGGGAGGCGGGAGATACTGAGCCCAGCGTAGATGGAAGAGGTGCAGGTGGGCAGAACCACCCAGGCAAACGATGGGCCCCGATTCTCAAGACCTGAGAAAGGGCCCTCGAGAAAGGCACATCAGCAGGCTCTGCAAATGACTGGCCCAGGTAGCAACATGTCTTCATGCGCCCTTATGTGCAGCTTGAAGCTGTAGGACCTGTAAAATACAGACCTACCTAGGTGTGCAACAGTCAGGCTTACAACGGCCAAGAGAAGAGGTGCAGGTGGGCAGAACCACCCAGGCAAACGATGGGCTTCGATTCTCAAGACCTGAGAAAGGGCCCACGAGAAAGGCAACCCTCCACATCAGCAGGCTCTGCAAATGACCAAAACCGGCAGCTTCACCAACGTATCATGGATGAAGATCTTTGCCCCCATCCTTAATAGCTTGGCTGCTTTCAAGAGCTCTACGCTTCGTTCCAGTACTCTAGCATCAGACTGCCTTGCGTATGTAGTGCCTGCAGCGTATCGGAAACCTTGCCACTGGTCCGAGAGACCTGAGAACTATTCACTTCGAATCCTTCTCGGCCTCTTGGCCCAAGCTGATCCGAACGGAGCAACGCTCCCCCCCTGACGAACTGGGTCCGGTCGTCGAGCCGACTCGAAACACGAGGACGCCAAGGGTGACCGGAGCTAAGTGACTCAGGCAAAGCAGACTCATTGCAGGGCCAGCTTGGCCCGGACTCGCGGGTACCCAAAGCTTCGCTAGGAGCAGTTCCATTCCTGGGGCAGTGCACAGGCCTGCTTTGCTGCTGACTCTGCATGCTCTACTTCTCAAAAACTCAAGGACTAAAGCTTCCGGCCCCCAAGTTCTTGTCCCTAGGTTCTAGGCCCCCAAAAAACCCCAAGAAACACAAAATAAAGATGTAAGGGATCCTTGAACCGCTCAGAATTTCGACGAGTAGGACCACCCGCGCATGAAGACATGTTGCTACCTGGGCCAACAGCTGCTTCCTTCACGTGACCTGCACCCGGGTGACTGGGCATGTGGTGCCTCCCAGCTCGCAGCATGTCGATTCTGTCTGGCGGCGCTGCTGAAGTTCCGGAATCCTGCACAACTTGCTTGGGGTCTGCCCAAGTGGATGCTCAAAAGGGCTTCACCAATGGTGTTGCATACCCGCAGATTGGTCCCACCAGTCATCCTGTGAGAGCTGGTCGGAAGCCCCAAGTTGGCATGGCCTCCACACCAGAAGCCTAGCCGTCCCAGATCGAAGCCAGCGTGTCATGTCTGCATTTCTCCTGTCATCTGCAGAATTGCCGCCTTCGACTCACTGAAGCTGCTACCCTCACATATGCTGTGCCTTTAACATCAACTCGTAATCCGACGGCCTTGCCCCAGCGATTGCATTGAAGGAAGGTCGCATGTCTAAGCTCTGTACAAATGTCCTACAGTCGCAAACTTCTGTAAGAAATCTCGGTCAGATTCCTGTCGGGCTGATGTAGCAGAGCCGGCTTCACCCGCCAGGAGGTGCCGTTGAAGTCTCCAAGATAGCTCAAGGACGTTCACGGTCTTGTGCGCTCCTCCGCCATGCCCGGTGGCATTGATCTGCGAATCGAGAGTGTGCGGGCCATGGGACAGTTGTTTCTACCACTTGCTAACAGCATCCGGACTCTCGCCACGCAATGATAAGATGCTTCTAGGCCAGGAGGTATCTGCTAGTGTATCTGCTTAGCCGCGCTGCTAGGGAGGCGAAAGTATCCGTTGCTGTTAGAGCAAGCGCTTCGGCCATGCACGAACAGATCTCGACAGCGAGTTCTGCCGACTTAACTTCCTTGCGTTTGTAACCCAAAAGCCCTAAACCCTAAACCCCAAACTGTTACCAGGAAGTTTCAGAGAGTAGGCTGCGCATGGCGGAAGGCGCCGGAGCGCCGCCGTGCCCGTCCGTCCCTTCCTAGCACCTGGCTTGGGAGGCCCGCTGCCTCCCGCCCTTTGCCACTTGTCGCGTGGCAAACCCAAGCCTTAAACCCTAAACCCTAAACAAGCCTTAAAGGAATCTCTCCTCGGACTCTGAGTCGGTCAGGGTCTCTCTGCCCAAGCTAGGGGGCCCTCCTGGACGCAGCGACGGAAACGAAGGAAGCCTGAGTTTGTTGAGCTCCAGGTCAAGCTCTAGAACTCATTGGGGCCTTTGCTTGCGGGCCCCTCAGCTCAGCTGCCTAGCTTCAACGGCAAGTGCTCCTGAGAGGGGGCCAGCTGGAAACTGCCAGGCAGGCAGTCCTTGGCCCACCTCGGCAATGTCCACCGGAATCCCAACACCATTCCATGTTTAGATCAGGCTGTCGTGGGTTTCATGTTTTGTAGAGCCTTCCAGTCTTGCACAAGTCGGCTCACGGGAAGCCGAAGCGCAAAAGCTGACGCCCTGGTGCTTTCGTAGGCACAGCTCTGCTTCAAGACCTATTCGCTAGTCGTGGCTCTATGATCTTTGAATCAGGCCCGCGACAGCCGGTATGAGTTTCCAAGATGTTCTTGCAGCACACGGTCGAGGTTGAAGCGTGATTTCAGAACTCTCACCTGAGGAAGGAGCTCAGGAGGGGCCTTCTGAGGGCCTTTTGCCTTGGCAAGTAGAGCCCCCTGAAAGGCCCTTTGAAGCACTCCTTGTGCTCCATCTCAGAGAGCTGCTTGACATGAGAAGATGGTCCTGTGCCCAGGCCCAAATCTGGACTTGGGCTTGAAGCTTGCCATTGCGCCATGCAGTTGAGAAAGAAGTGGGAAAGAGGGGAGATTGTGGGATAAACCGCTCTGAGGCCATGGACCCCACCAGTCAGGTGAAGATCTGTGATCAAGAAAGGGTCGGAAGCTTTATCCTCATACCTCAACTTGTTCTCCTGCCTAGAGGGGGAAGGCACTCCTCAAATCAACCATAAGCAGTGTGGGTGCCAGCGTGGCCTGTTGCACACAGAGTTGCGCTGCTGGCGTTGTCAGCGCCTTAAACTTAAGCTGTAAGCTAGCAAGTGCCTTTGACGTCGGATAACTTGCCAGAACTCCTGGGGTTCCCCGAAAGCCGTCCAAGAGATGCCTTGCAACCCCAACTGCGACTGATCGGTCATGGAATGGTTCAGGGATTCGGCACATGGCAGAAGTTGACGAAGTACCGTTGGGACCCATGCTTGCACGGCAACGTACTCATAAAGACGACGCCCTCTGTTCCAAAGGACTTCAGCAATCTTTTTGCAGACCTACAGATTGGTCCCACCAATCATCATGCGAGAGCTTGTCGGAAGCCCCACTCTGGCATGGCCTCCACACCACAAGCCTAGCCGTCGCAGATCAAAGCCAGCGTGTCATGTCTGCATTTCTTGTGTTATCTGCAGAATTGCCGCCTTCGACTCACTGAAGCTGCTACCCTCACATATGCTGTGCCTTTAACATCAGCTCGTAATCCGACGGCCTTGCCCCAGCGATTGCAGTGAAGGAAGGTCGCATGTCTAAGCTCTGTACAAGTCTCCTGCGGTCGCAAACTTCTGTCAGAGATCTCGGTCAGATTCCTGTCGGGCTGAGGTAGCAGAGCCGGCTTCACCAGGAGGTGCCGTTGAAGTCTCCAAGATAGCTCAGGGACGCTCACGGTCTTGTGCGCTCCTCAGCCATGCAAAGTGGCATTGATCTGCGAATCGAGAGTGTGCAGGCCATGTGGCTTTTGCTGCTCACAGCAGGCACTTGGACTCGCGCCACAAAGAAGCGAAAGCTTCCGCGTTTGGTTGCAGCAAGAGCTTCGACCGGGCACAACCCATATTGGGATCCAGTTGTGCCGAAGCTCGTCCTGACGCAACGGCTCAGGCACAAGCGTTCCATGTGAAGGGTTCTGATGTATCCGGAACCAGTGGTAGGATTCAGTGCATACGTTCTCCATCGTTCTCCTACGCTGTGCGTCATGAAGGCAGCAAAGATGCAAGAAACCTATCCCCGGCAACTAATTTCTAGATTATCCAAGCTGTTTGTCGCAAACGCATCAGCAGATTCTGAAATGCAGGCTTTCCTTCGCAGTGAGAGCGCATTAGTCATGTGCGGCGCTGACAGCGCATAGCATCGCCCCCCAGCGCCCCCAGCGCCAGGGCCCTAGGGCCATCCTTCTCCCCGCTTCTCGTGGACGCGTGGGTGCGCGGCAGGGCGCTTCATGGCTGGGACTCCTTGGAGCTGCATAGACTCGGGCTGGATAGCTCTTGCAAGGCGCCTGTAGGGAAGGGACTCTCCCCCATGTTGGGAGAACTCTGCCGCTCTGCCGGCCATGGCCATGGGAGCTCCAAGGCATCAAGGTGCCAGTGGTGCCAGGACGACGTCCGCCTGGCCTCTCACAGTGAGAGGCATGGTGCCGGGAAGGGCCAATGCCAATGCGCTTGCCTCAACTTGAGGGTGTGGTGAGTACGCGCAGCCTCACGCAGCTTCTCTTCGTCCCAGGAAAATGTGCCTCGTCTGCACGGTTGCAGCTTCTGCTTGAGTCAGGCAAAACCGATATGTGGCAAATGCAGCGTTGTGAAGACCTCTCTCCGCACCCTCGACGAAGCTTTGCCTACAAAGCACCTCTGCACTGGACTCCCCTGGGCTACAAATCTAGGCGCCGTCTTCGGCCTTGTTTGACTTGTGCTTTGGACGATGCTTCCCTTGCTTTTGAAGTCGCTGCCATGAAGGCCCTTGCAGCACCTGTGCCGCACCGATTTGGAAGCCTGGCTCTTCGAGGTGTCGCTCGGTCTCGCAGCATGAAAGATATGTTCAAGTGTACGGCTGGGACACGCGGCGGCGCCGGTGCAACCGCGGCATGCGCTGATCGGTTCCACCAACGCGGTGCCTTCGACATCCGCGACAGGCTTCTTTGCCGCTGGAGCGAGAACGAGCTTTTTCCGCGCTGAGCCCTAAAACACGAGTCTTCGGGATGTTTGAATGCAGGCTTTCGGGGTGGCACAGTCTAGGACTGAAGGAGCATGCGAGAAGGTTCTACATGCAATTGGGAGACTGCATGAAATCTCCGTTTTCATGTTATAAGTTATAGACTTATAGATGTTGAGAGCTATGCATGTGTGAACTTCCAGGATTATGCTGCGTCATGGCGGGGATTGGTGGACCCCAACAGGGAACCAGATGTTGGGGAACAGGCTTCTAGAGCTGCTGGCTTTATGGCTTGCGTTTGATTTGCACAGGGCTAGCTCAGAGGTCAAAGTTTACTGGGAGCCTAGGGTGTCGGTTGCAAGTGTTGGGCTTAGGGGCATGCTCCAGCAGTCGAGGCCACTTAAGTTCTCGGTTCCTGCAGAGTACTTAGATCCCTTGGTGCATGTCTTGGTTTGGCGTCCTTGCTATTTCTGGAGTCTCGGACCCCACTCTACCAGTCTCTTCGATGTTTCCGCACAGCAATTTCCCTGGCTCAAAAAAAGCCAGAAAGTACCTTAGACACTCTTGCTAATGCGAGTACCGTTTTGCCATCCCTGGTTGGCGATGGCCGTGCCTGTGATGTTCAAGGCGACTTCGGGGCTGGCAGACAGCTCCGCACACTCAGGAGCCTGCAGAATCAACAATAGTAATAATAGTAATACTAATAAAAGTAGTAAGAATAAGAGTAATAACAATAATGTATATATATATATATACACACATATATGTATATATACACATATTTTTGTGTGTGTGAGTGGGGAGGTCCTTATTTATAAATATAGTATAGTATACCCCAAAACCCTACTCTAATTTTTCAGGCTCCTCTATTCTTATGATTCCCAAACCCATATGTAGGTATCTCAAACACCTGTTTTCATGGGTTGCAGTTCGTACCATGGTTTTCATTGGGGAAGGGCTTCCGAGGTCGAATGATATTTGTTGAATAGAAACCTCCAAAACCCTACTTGGAGGCTCATGGGTAACCCTTCAAGGGTTCCATGGGGTTCTACAGGGTTTAGGGTTTGGGGGTAGTTACAAGTGGGGTTATAAAAGTAGGGTAACCATAATTATAACCCATAATTAGGGGACTTTTTACCCCATTTCTAACTACCCATGAACCTCCAAGTAGTCGAAGTAATTGTTAAGGAACTGTTATCGCCGTACAGACTAGGACTCTCTGGGCACTCTCAAAGAAGGGTAGACCGTCCCAAAGAATGGGTGTTCAGGGTCTAATCGATGGCAGAAGGAGGGTCCAGGGTTGTGGCTTTACAGATGGTGTGGTTTATGCTTTTGGGTTTAGGACCAGGGCAGGTGCCAGGAAAAAAGGCGCTGTGTTTCTTCTTGTGAAGTTTCTTATCATCGGGAGCCGCAAAGCCTTGACTTAGGGAGTGCGCCTTGCATGCCATAGCATTCTTCTTTTCGTGACTTCGAAACCCTAAACCCTAAACCCTAAACTCCAGACCCCTGGACCTTAGACTTGGGCACCATCCGTGCCTGCCCTGGTCGGCACTCTGATATTTTTTCGGATACACCTTCCAGAACCATCCCTCTACCCTTGGAGCATGTGTTCGACAAACTCAGCCCCTCCACCCCTTATCACCCTAATCACTGATTCGCCCAAGCCCTAAACCCTTAAACCCTGCAGCTTCTTCGGGAACGAAACCTCGTAAGTGGGTCGATATGTGGCTAGTGCTGCAAGGCATTGCTGCAGAGACCAATTTGATCAAGGCTCACTCCTTCTCGGGTCCCCTCCACACCCCATAAGAGCCTTCAATAGATCCTAAGCCCCGCAAATGCTACAAACCCTGAACACCTGAGTCCATACTCTATGAAGCCCATGAAGCCCCGTGTCCGAACCTCTCTCATCCCTGATCTCTTGAGCCTAAGCCCTACTTGGAGGTTCATGGGTAGTTATAAATGGGGTAATAAGTAGGATAACTATACTTATAAGCCATTTTAGGGGACGTATAACTGCCCACTTATAAATACCCATGATCCTCCAAGTATACGCCCCCAAGTGGACGCCAAATGTCTAAACTCTCTAAACTTTGTACCTTTGGAGTCCAGACCGCTAAGTATCTACGCATAAGAGCCCCCTCGAAGGCCTTTGTCTGTAGTGTACAGTATAGGTGCGTACCTAGACCCTCCATCTACCCTCTATTGGACCCCAAATACCCATTATATTTGGGACCACCTTGTTTGAGGGTACAAGGAGGGTCCTGGAATGGCCTTTTATGCAAACGTCCGCAGGTGACTCTTTGGTCACTTTTGTTCATTTCTTCGGCGACCTCGGACTGTGAAGTGCCCCAATCGGCGGACCCTGGCTCAGATTTGCCCAGAGAAGCCAATAGCCCTTAAATAAGGAATGGTACCATCAATCAGAAAGGTATACCAGGACCCTCCTTGTAGCCTCAAATAAGGGTATATTATGGTCCCAAATATAATGGGTATTTAGGGTCCAACAGAGGGTAGATGGAGGGTCTAGGCAGTGTGTAGGGTCTTGGGTAGACAGTGACTGTATCCCCGAATAGAGCCAAGAAAGGTCCGAGCCGTCTCTAAAGCTTCACCGACCTCGGAGCATGCTGCTGCGAACAAATCTCGCATCTGCAAACCTGGCCGCGCAGGGAGGGCAAAGCAAAGGTCGCCCCGATCGTTATGAGAGCATGCGGCCCGCTTTCCCACAGATGCGGGCACGTGGGATCCGTCTCGGCTCACGTGCATGATCATCGTCCATGAGCGTTCAACATGTGTGCTCATTGCCTGACGACCCAGCACGCCTTTTGCCGCCTCTCCTCGAGATCCCCCCTTGACCGAGCTGAGCTCCGAGATGGACCAGAGCCCGCGCTGCACGAGCCCCTTGCCGACGCGCTGGGACTCTGTCTAGTCCTCCGGATGCGCTGGCGTTGCGCAGTAGTCCGCAGTTGCACAGGCACCTTCGTCGCGGACATGCCAGGGGATACACGGTGCGCGGAAAAAAACTCGGTTTCCTTTTCCGGGGTGCGGCTGCGAATTCAAACGGGCGCGGAAAGAACAAAAAAGAGCCAACATCTCACTTTATAAAAAGGACTGCGAAAGCAAAGCGTGGTCTTTGTCGGGAAATCCAGCGCTTCAGTACCGTCCACGTTCACACGCCGGCGCTCACTCGTTTTGGAAGTGTCTCGCGTGTGTTGCGCAATGGGTGCTAATGGCGATAGCGGTCCAAAAAAAGTTTAGTGCAGCGCCCGGGCCCCAGCAATTTCCCGCCCAGGAAACTCCACAGGATGCTGTGCTGGGAACCGGGCTTCTTCAGACCAAACAAGGGACGAAAGCGCTGGAGAAGACTAGTGCCTCGTCCATGCGTTCATGTACGTGGGTTGGGCAATGCTGAATATATATATATATATAGATAGATAGATAGATAGATAGATAGATAGATAGATAGAGGCGTTGCGGGGTTGTGGTGGAGTGTGGCAAACGACCTGAAGACGCATCCGCATTGTGAAGAAGCATTCGTCAAACAAATGCCTAATAAGCGCAGACGCATGAGCATGCGCAATCGCACTTTCCAGACGCATTGTGTGGGTGCATTGGGTGGCGCAGATGCGTTGCGAAGACGCATGGGTGGCGCAGAGGCATTGCGAAGACACGTTGGATAGGCGCAGACGCATTGCGAAGACGCATCGGGGTAGCGAAGACGGCTTCAGAAGACACATTGCGAGGCACCCATTGCGAAGCCGCTTTCACGATATAACGGCCACGGACAGAATGTGAGGACGGGTTTGTTTTACATGCACTATAGGGTTCCTTTTAGGGTTCCTTTAGAAGCATCTATAAAGGTTTATATACGGTCTCTTTTAGGGTTCCTTAGAGGGATCTGTAAAGGTTTCTATAGGGGGTCCCTTTTCGGGTTCCATCCGCGGAGTTCAAGGTCCGTATAAGAGTTCTCGGAGTTCAAGATTTGTAAGAGTTGCAAAAGTCAGGGGTGTCCCATCAGTTCAAGGCTCCATCCTCGGAATTCAAGTTTCGTAAGAGTCATGATTTCAATATCTGGGGCGCCTCATCAGTCCAAGGCTCCACCCTCGACGTTCAAGGGTTGTAAGAGTTCTGATTACAACACCGGAGCCCAGGGGAGCCCAATCAGTCCAAGGCTTCACTCGGAGTTTATGGTTTGTAAGAGTTTTGCTTCAAAAAGCAAAGGCGCCCCAGTAGTCCAAGGCTCCATCCTCGGAGTTCAAGCTCTGTAAGAGTTCTGACTATGCTTCATCAGTCCAAGGCTCCACCCTCGGAGTTCAAGCTTTGTAAGAGCTCTGATTCGACAATAAGGGTCGCCCCGCACGTCAGGATCAGGGCCTGGGCCCTGGCATGTGGCATCACAATCCGGCGTCGCGACCCACTTCGGCGTCATAATGTGGCATCAGCAATTCGGCGTCACCACCAAACGCGGCTTCACCAATCCGGCGTCACCACCTAATGCAGCATCAACATTTCGGCGTCACCACTTAATGCAACGTCAGCAATTCGGCGTCACCACTTAATGCAGCGTCAGTAATTCGGCGTCACCACCCAATGCGGCGTCAGGAGACAATTCGTCGGCATTAGGGGACAAGTCGGCGTCAGGCAATGTGGCGTCACATTTCGGCGTCACCTAATGCAATGCAGTTTCAGGAATTCGGATTCGGCGTCAAGTCGTTTGCCACACTCCCCCAGGCGCCCACCCTCTATTTATTTATTAAATATATATGTATATATAAACATATGTGTATATGTATATATATATATACGTGTATGTATGTATGTATGTATGTATGTATGTATATATATATATGCTCTCGGGTCCAGGGCCAC